CTGTATTTTGGTTTCTCCAAATTTAAAATAAAATAAATATGGTCTCTAGACTAAGGGGCTTTATAGAGTCATCTTAATTGCTAGGCACCTTGTCTTTGAATCTTTGTGTAACACGCAGACCTTTTCTGTTCTGAATAATGTTCAGAGACTGCAGACAGAGTGCCATGGTAACAAAGATGTTTCAGGTGGACTATGTACCGCCAGATACAGTCCCTTCAGAAGGCGATCTGGAAAATGTTCTCAAAGACCCTCCGGAGCAGGTACGTAATGACGCTCTAAGGCATTCGGATCCTCACCGCATTCTCAGCTCCCATTCTCAGTGGTCGCATCTTCTCCTTCCTTTACCACCACAGTCATTCTGCCCATTTTCAGGTCCTTATAGTTGGGGTCAGTATCAACCATTGCAAAGTATCTTTGCTGATTTCCCACCCTTTGGTCAGTCCCTCCTCCACCCTGCCCACTGGAGATTCCTAGCAAGCATCCTTGTCTCCTGTGTCCTTACCTGTCGAAGAAAGCAGGACCCTTTAGCCTGGCATCCTAAGAAGCAGTTTCTGTCCTCAGTCATTCTTTGCCTTGTGACTCCCCTGTTTATATTCCAGCCAAACTAAACTGGGCATCGGTGCTCCGTCTCTGCTCCCCTAGCACCAGATCGTCTCCTTTTAGAAAATGCTTTGATGCTGTGAATACTTTGCTCCCTGTCTATCTCCCCCATGCACTGTAGGCTCCCAGGTGTCAGAGAGCATGTCTGCCATACTCAGCATCTTGCACAGGGGCAGGTAGGAGAGGGCAGAGGGTGTATATTTGTTGACTAGATGCATCAGACTAGTAGAAGCCCTCAGTGGGCATGGCCTTCAATTATGTTGAAACCTTCATTGCCAAATAGCTGCAAAGCCTCATCTCTTTGGAGAATGAACTAGACCTGTCTTGAAAGGATGTTTGGGTTCTGGGCATCAGTGAGATAGATCCCAGGGTCAGAGGATGCGCCAGCCCACGACAAGGCAACCAACCAAAAAGTCCCAGTCATGGAGGTCTCGCTGGGGGTGACGGGAAGCTTTTTGGGAGTCCCTTCAGTCTAATGATTGGCCAGAGGCCAGAGCAGTGGGTACAGGTGTCGTGTGGGGCCCACGTGTGGTCAGGGGTCTACACTGGGCAGGGGCTGAACCCACGTGTAGCAGCAGGTGCTCAGGGTTTAACCAAGCACGAGGGACTGAGCCCAAGGAGCAGGAAGTCCAGAGAGAAGCGTGTTTATGTTTCAGGGCCGTGTGTGGGCAGGTAGTGGACAGGAGTACTGTCTTGGCCTGACCCCAACCTGTCTTTGCCCCCTGGGTCTAGTGGTCCCTCTGTTATTACTCTGACTCCCATGATGGTGACATCCTGCCTGTATATGCTGCCACCTGCTTTCGGTCTTGGCCACTCAAACTGGTGGGGCTTCCCAAGCAGACACACTGCCCACCAAGCAGCCCAGGTTCAAAGCTGTGTGTTTCCAGGGAAAGGTGAGACAGGGGTCACTTTGTGAAAACGACTGTAAACCCTTTCCAGTGAGAAGTGCAGGCTATGTCACTGTCTCTACCATGGAACTTTTAATTTTCATATAAATGGGCAGAATCAAGGGATTGATATGCAATCTCTTCCCTCCTAGGAACTGAAAAATGGATTTGTTGAATCAAAAGGGAGGAAGAAATATAAGAATGCTGAAAATAAACTGGGTTGGAATGTTAACCTTGGAAAGTTTCCAGGTATGACGTGACAGGACGAAGATAAGATTTAATATTCTAAACCACCAAACAGGTTCAGTGCTTGTGTTCGTGTCTGCAGAAGGGTTGGATAAGAAACACTGGAACAATAAAGTAAGCTGTAATTGGACTTTTAATGCTGTCCTAGCCAACAGCTTAAGACCATGAGGGATAGTGCAGCTGTCCAGCAGAGTCAGATTTATCGATTCATTGCAACGTGGGAGACCACACACCAGAGGAACCATGGGGTCTCATCAACCAAAGCACAGATAACAGTTACAGGGGGAAGGGTGGAGTTAGGATGAAATTTAAATGAAAGAAGAGTTTTGATAGGCTCAAGCAAAGCAGGGCTCGGTGTGAAATGGTCACCATGAGGTATGAGGTATGGACCCGAGAAGGGGACCGGGGTTCTGTTACCTTGGAAACAACAAAGATAACTGTGGAATGTTGTGTTCAGAAACCTTTCTCTGAAGCTCTGCACCAGGGTTGGAAATTGAAGCTGCCTCTCTATGTCAAAGTGACTTGGGTCCTCCAGGCAAGAGTTGGATGTTTCATTCTTACTGATAAGATTTCAAATAGCAAAATTTCTGATAATCTGATTTTAGGCAACAAGGTTTCTTGGCAAGTAAGAAACAGTAGTCACTCAAAGTGGGGGCTGTTACGACATGTTACAGCTGCAGTGTGTCCTTGGGACACATGATGTTTCCTGCTAACCTTGCAACTGGATTTATCCATTTTCCCAGCCTGGTGTGGAATGTTGTGGAATGTCGCAGGGCAGATTTTAATTTTCTCAGTCTGGGCTCATTCTTTTCTTTATTGCTATTAATTTAACTGAGTGGGAGCTTCTTTGTATAATTCTACTTTAGAGAAAGAATGTGACAACAGTGGTCCCTTATTAAAAGGTTCCTAACTATGAAGACACAGTTGCATGAATGCATATATAATTATAGATATTCACAGAATGACGTTTTTGATATAATCGTAGACGTGGGTGAAAGAACTGACCCTAAAACTTTGAAAGATCTTCGGTTCTCAGAAAGCCCACGGGAAACCCCAGCTTTCCGTGAAGAATCAGGCTCTCGACCAGCCACCCAGCAGCCCCAGGTAACTTCTAAAGACAATCTTTAGGGTACTAAACGCCTACTGTGTTTTTTGTTTTTTGTTTTTTAGTTTTTTTTAGTTTTTTTAGTTTTTTTTTTTTTTAGCATTTTAAACAGGTTTACTTTATATTTTCTATCCAATAATTCCAATATACATAAGGTTTTTTTTTTAACATCTTTATTGGGGTATAATTGCTTTACAATGGTGTGTTAGTTTCTGCTTTATAACAAAGTGAATCAGTTATACATATACATATGTTCCCATATCTCTTCCCTCTTGCATCTCCCTCCCTCCCACTCTCCCTATCCCACCCCTCCAAACTCTAAACTCTCTTTTCCCCCATGACTTAGTCAAAATATTGCTTCAACATCATTCTACAAAAAAGTTCAACAAGGAATCTTTGAGGACCTGTGCTTTTTCTCTAGTTTATGAACTAGGCTGATAACTTGACGTTTGTCTCTAGAAAATGAAATTGCATAGGGTAGAAGAGTCTACTATGTTATTTTTCAGATCACTTCTCCCCCCACTGCTCCTTTGTCGCTAAAATAGATTTTGACCCTATTGAGTCATGCAATGAGAAAGAAACCAGATGGATTTGTTAGGACAGTGGTACATGTTGTAATTAAAAAAACTAAAATGTATAAAGTGTTTCAACGATTTGGGATAACTCCAGAGCAGTCCTTTTCACTGTGCCTTTTGTTATTTAAGATGTAACTAAGCACATTTTAGAAATCAATTGATTTTGATGTGTTGGATGCACACATTTTCTCTGATTACTCCCATTGTGTGCCAAAATCTCCCGTATTTTTTACACTGTTTTTGAACATTTTACACATATAATACTGGCATTTTTCATCATACAGTTACTACTTATTTAAGTAATATTTATATTTGTTAGCATATCTGTTTGTATATTTATGTTGTATGTTTATAATTGCTAGTGTTTATTAATCAGAGTTAGTAAATGCTTCCAGAACTTTGTGATTGAATTGTTGCCTTGTGGCTATGTGATAGAGGTCTCCTTAGGACTATATTCATTATAGTCTTAATTTTAATAAACTTCACTTGTGAACTGGGGCGATCCACTCCACCTGCTTCAATGGAGTTGTTATTGGAGTTTATTAATGAAATGACATGTGTGAAAAGTGCCTTGCAGATAAAGGTAATGACATGAAGAGGGCAGATTGGAAAGGGGCATGGAGAGCTATGTGGGACTTCACAGCTGCTCTTTTTGACTTGGTCAGCAGCCAGAGAGACCTTCCTTTTCTTCACTATGTCTAGTGAGGAATTGTAAAGGATGGGTTAGGCTGGGAACTAAGTGTTTGCTTCTTCCAAGGCTGACCATCTTGACATGTCCCACTGCATGTTTTTTTAAATTAATTTTTATTGGAGTATAGTTGATTTACAATGTTGTGTTAGTTTCTGCTGTACAGCCAAGTGAATCAGTTATATATACACACATATCCACTCTTTTTTAGATTCTTTTCCCATACAGGTCATTACAGAGTACTGAGTAGAGTTCCCTGTGCTGTACAGTAGGTCATTATTAGTTAGTTATTTTATATATAGTAGTGTGTATATATCAATTCCAGTCTCCCAATTTAACCAGCCCTTCCCCCTTGGTAAGCATAAGTTTGTCTTCTACATCTGTGACTCTATTCCTGTTTTGTAAATAAGTTCATTTGTACCACCTCACACTGGTCAGAATGGCCATCATCAAAAAATCTACAAACAACAAATGCTGGAGAAGGTGTGGAGAAAAGGGAACCCTCTTGCACTGTTGGTGGGAATGTAAATTGATACAGCCACTATGGAGAACTGTATGGAGGTTCCTTAAAAAACTAAAAATAGATCTATCATATGATCCAGCAGTCCCACTCCTGGGCATATAGCTGGGGAAAACCATAATTCGAAAAGATACATGCACCCCAATGTTCATTGCAGCACTATTTACAATAGCCAGGACATGGAAGCAGCCTAAATGTCCATCAACAGAGGAATG